GCATTACTCCCCAGGAAAATTATTTAATTAATTCCTGATACTCATTTCTGTTAGAGGCTGAGTGAACCCCAGGGCCATAGTGCGGCTGGAAGGATTAGGTCAACTGAAAAAATTCAATGACCTCATTGGTATTTGAACCCGTGACCTTCCGACTTGTAGCATAGTGCCTTAACCACTACCTTTGATTTATATTTGCAGATATTATTGTTGTGTAGTGGCCCCATTTGTGATATTGTATACATCCAAGGAGCCTATGTGTTTCTAGCAGGTTGTTCTGAGGTGAAGCGTGGAAGTCAAATAGTTAAATGTGTGATGCCCCATAACAACAAACACATGACTCAAAAATGGTGAGAGCACAGAGCACCAAGCCTCAAAATGTGGGCACTGTAGCCCCAACAGGAAGCAGGCTTTGTTCGAGTATGTATGTAGACATCCTGGATTGTATGTGAAACTTGTATACATGTAATAAATACTCTGTATATAAATTATTGAATTATTTAATTTTTTTATAGTGATTCTTATATGCTCTTTATAAATTAGTGTAAATAAAATTCTAAAAAGACAGTCACAAAAGCATGATTTACTCATAAAGCAAATAAATGCTACTGCAACTCTGTTCTGTCTTTAATGAACTTCATTATGTATGAAAACTGGATATAAATTATTTTGTAAACTCCAGAAGTACATACCCAACCAGAAACTTCTTAACTGTGGCAGAACGCAGGAGTGGAGGATAATAAATTCCATGAAACACCCAGTGGCTTACATCCTCCTGAAGTTTTGGGCCAGTTGGAGCTCCTAAAACATGACAGCATTATATCAGTTTGAAAATTACTGGAGATCACTGTATCACTTCTGATGCAACAGTTAACTGTTCGTCAGATACCTGAGAAAAGCAGAGAGCATAATGAGGTGATACATCAGCTATCCATAGATTTAAGAAAGCCTATGACGAAGCAGGTGAGTGTAGCAGTAATGCTGTAGACTTGCATCAGGGAGATGCTTGGTTCAAGTTTCAGTTGGGGCACTAACTATCCTGACTGAGGTGTGTCGTGGTTTTCCTCAGCCACTCCAAGCAAATGTCACGCTAATATCTTGATTAGGCCACATTCCTTCCTTCCATATTTTCATGTGTTTAGGTGTGTGACTATAGATGTGTTATGGATTGGTGAATCGATTTATTGACTGCTTATACACACCACTCAAAACTACAAGCAGTTACAGCATCATCGCAATCACTTTACAAATCACTACAGCACCTGCTAAGCCTTTCTCTAGCCTGTTGTGTCTTCATCAGCCGTTCCCTGGCAATGGCTTCTAACGTTGGAGATTCTTCACNGCTTATACACACCACTCAAAACTACAAGCAGTTACAGCATCATCGCTAATCTCCTCACTTTACAAATCACTACAGCACCTGCTAAGCCTTTTTCTAGTCTGTTGTGTCTTCATCAACCGTTCCCTGGCAATGGCTTCTAACGTTGGAGATTCTTCAGCTTCCTGCGCTCAGGTCTTATCTTCATAGCCTCCCTGCAGAACTTAGCTCTCAACTAACTTCCAGGCTGGCAGCCATTTCACACCAACCTCCTAGTCTTTTCTTCACTGGCTGACTTTCAACTAACTACACTCTGTCGCCCCAGTTGTCTTCAAGATAACTCCTTTGCATGGACTGAGTAGAAAATACCGTTTCCAACCATAACTCCAGTGTTTCAGAGGCGTGTTCACCGAGCTGTTGCACAGCAACAGCTGTTGTCTTGTTTGTTTCAAGGTATTTGTCTAACAATGGGTCTATATGCCACACTATCCTTTCCAATTTATTATTCGTTCACCAGTCACTCGGCCATCCATTGCTATACAGTCTGAGACACTGAATGTTTTAAAAAATATAAAAAAGAGCTTTATATTTAGTTAGGAGAGAAGCACTGTACAGTATTCTCATTGAATTCGGTATACCCATGCAATCTGTTAGACTAACTGAAATGTGTTTGAAAAATCTTACTGTCAATAAACAATGTCCCCGCACTGTAACATCCCTAAACTTACTTGAACATCTCCTGATGGTAAGATACACAATCAAATCAACCATATTTTGATAGACAGGAGATGGCACTCAAGCATACTTGATGTCCGTTCATTCAGGGCAGCAGATTGTGATACTGACCACTACCTGGTGGAGGCAAAGGTTAGGGAAAGACTGGCAGTGAGCAAACAAGCAACGCACAGAGTCCATATGGAGAGGTTCAATCTCAAGAAATTAAATGAGGTAGGGGGTAAAGAGCAGTATCGTGTTGAAATCTCAAATAGGTGCGCAGCTTTGGAAAACATGGGCACTGAGATGGGTGTTAATAAAGCTTGTGAAACTATTAGAGAGATTATCAAAATTTCTGCAAAGGATAGTCTAGGCTATTATGAACTCAAGAAGCATAAGCCATGGTTTGATGAAGGATGCTCAGAATTACTAGACCAAAGAAAACAAGCCAAATTATAATGGTTACAGGATCCAAGAAAAATAAATGGAGATAAACTGAACAATATAAGACGTGAAAGCAGCAGGCATTTCAGGAGCAAAAAGAGGGAATATCTGAAAGACAAAATTGATGATGCAAAATTTGTCAAAAACATAAGTAACATGAGGANACACTTACAAGCGTGGAACCAGGATAGATAGATCTGTAGAAATTTTATGCCACATAACTAAACTCATAACCAGGTCCATGACCCCACGGCATGGAATAGAAAGAAGAACTAGTAACAAAAACTAATAGTGTTAAACCAGCGTCAACAATGGAGTAAATCACGTCTATCTAATTTAGAACTTAATAGAAATAAATAAA